CATCTGACATATAAACTATGTGTTATAGATCTAGAAATTCATATGATTGAATAGCATAATATAATCATTATATTATGTATAATCATATGACATTAGTAATATATGAATCATTATATTATGTATTCATTATAATATAATCATTATTATGTAAGCCAAACATTAATATAATTTAGAATTGATATTGAGATGTATAAGAAGGGTTGGTGTCCAATTTAAGAAAATATAGAAGGTATAGTTTTCATTTATTGAAACTTAACATATGATTTTGAAATTCATGAAGTCTAAATATTGATTGAAAAACTAAAATCATTAACTTAATTTATTTTATAGATCCAAAAAACATTTTACACTTGAGCAAAACGGACAAGGATCGTCCGTCTCATTTCCTGTCTCATTTCATGTATCCGACCCATCACAATGCTGCTGCATGAATAAAATAAAAAATTTAAAAATAAAAAGTAAAATTTTGATTAGTCCGGGACAGGAAGTGGGACAGTGAATGAGAGAGGTGATCTGTGTCCGAGCAAAACCGATATTAATCATATTACAAATTCAAAAGTTATAGTTTCCAAAAATAATTGATCTTTAGATTCTTGGCAGATGCCTTAATAAAGTTTAAAACAGATTATTCTTAACTCAACCACGAAAATTGGTTTAGGGAGGAGAATTACTCTCATCATTGTATATATAACACACAAATATGAGATGTTATGTATTATCTTTTCTTGTATAAGAAAGAACCTGCATGTTGTTGAAACGGTTGAATGTTTTGTTGCAGACAGTGCAAGAAAACTGGGTAGGACCAACAAGGATTTGTTCTGGAGTAGGGATCCAATATTGACCCGGAATTGGAGCCTCAGAAAAATTGTGAGATTGGGTAGCAATGATGGTAGTGTTTTGTGAAGAACCAGTAGTGTTGGGAAGACCAATGTGTAGGGCAACTGTTACACCACTCTGGTCATAAGAGTTAGTAGGGTTTTGCAAGTGAAAGAAAGAATGGTTTGGGTTAGACACTTTGGGATTGTGTTTCTGACCAGGAAGGCCAAGTGAGAGGGATATAGATTCTTCATCATCAACTATATCAGCATTTTCACTTCCACAAGAAGATATGTATGAGAAAGAGTGGGTTTGCATGGTGATTATGATATGGCTGATGGGATTGATAGTGCATATATAATATAAAATGAGTGAGTAATAGCTATATATATATATACATACATAGAGAAAGAGAGAGAGGAAGAGATTTGTACTAGTTTTTTGTATGAGAAGTGTGAGTAGGGGATGAGAAAGTTCATAGATAAAGGAATTTTATATTTAATAATGCTATCTATACAACAAGTGAATAACTTTTTTCTGCAATTTCTTTGTAAGATAAAGAAATACTGACAAATTGTATAAGTACTACTGTGTTTGATAACATAATTTATAAGCCAATAAGCTTGTAAAATTAAAATATAAAATTAACATACCCTTTAAAAGGAAAGTTGAAAGTTATATTTTAGAAATATATTAGAAGCAGTTTTTAACATAGTTTTGAAAACCGTGCCGTACCGGCCGGTTCAACCGGAAAACCGGTGAACCGGACCCCTAACCGGTACGGTACGTATGTTATACCGCATATGCAATAGAACCGGTCAAAACCGGTTGAAAACCGGTCAAAACCGGTTGAAAACCGGTCAAAACCGGTCAAAACCGGTGAAAACCGGTAAACGTAAACCGGTTTAAACTGGTTGGTTTGTACATTATTATTATTTTTTTTTTAAATTTCAAATTTTCAATTCTTCACCAATTCTTCAACTTCAATGATTGATACTTGGGTCATTTAATTGTATTTTGCGTTTGTTAAGTGATAATTTTGGATAAATATATGTTTTGTACTTTAGACTTTGATTTTATTAAAGACTTAATGTTGTTTGTTTGTGTGAATTTGAAGTAAATTATGAATATGGATTAAAAATATGAATATCTACTTATTTGAAATTTTTTGTTATAGGTTTACATATATATATATATAAGCAAGTATGTCCGGTTTAACCGGCATGCGGTTTAATTACTGAACCACTGGTTGAACCACTGTACCACTATACCAGTACCCTAACCGGTTTGATAACCGGTACGGTTTTAATAACATTGGTTTTTAAAAAATAATAATAGCTTTCAATAAATTATTGACTCAGTTTTAATTGTGGCATTCAAAAATAGAATTATCATCCCATATGAGAGAGATTAGTTCTTGTTTTTTCTTTTACTTTTAGAAGTAAAATTATCATCCTATTAAAAATAAAATTATAAAAATATCATATTGATATTTTTGTTTTTGTTTTTAATATCACTTTCCTTTGAAATATTAGAGGGGATTCTTCTCCCAAAAATATGTCATCATTCTTTATAATTACTGCACCATGTTTGGCTTTAATTTCCCCCAGCACATGAGGTTAATTTTTCCCGTATAACCAGCACCTAATTTCTAGTTGGTTGTCTAATTATCCTATTAGTTAATTAATTATATAATAAATAAATATATAAATAAAATGAGTGATATTTAATCATCATATTACATTAATATACACTATGTAATTTCAATTTAATTAATTAGTAAATTACAACTAGTTTTATAACTAATTTGCCAAACAATTCTACTTTAATTGACCAGCTACAATCTAAAGGCTTTCTGGTACAATAATCTCTAAGCTTTCAACTAAGTTAGGAGTTATAAGCTACAAAGTCATAACTATAAAGCACAAAAAAAGTTAATTTTACCAAGCAACTCTTACAATAATTTGTGTGTATAAAGAATGTGAAAATAATGAGAAAGAGAAATTGTGAAGAAAATTGTAGGATTTGGGTAAAAGGTGTAGTCTTACCTATAAGAGAAACACAACTTCTCATGCTTTGCTATATTTATGTCATTTACATTTTACAATCAACCAATACAACTTTCTTTTTTCTGTAAAGAATAGAGATCCCTACTACTTCTCTCACTATTTCACATATTTTTTACTGTCTAGGAGTTGGGTGTGCTATGTAGTTGAACATAAAACATTATTGGTGTTCTCTCCTCTTATTTTGGAAAAAATAGTTAATATTAAAAAAAGTTATTTAGTGGAAATGTACTATTAACATTATTATTCTCAAATTTAATGTTGTAATAGACTACGATCATATCATAGAGCCTCAAATTATCGGGAAGTTCCATCGTCACTGAGGTATGAAAAGAGTATATATTTACAAGTGAGACATCACATCTTGAACCACAAAACTTTAAGGTAGTCTCACATTTAATATTCATTTCTTAATTTGTGTATTTTATTGTAATGAGAGAAGTAAACAAATATGAATTAATGAAGAGAGTAATAGATGATTAAGATTTAAGTGTAAAAAATGATATGATGAAAAAAATGGTAAGATGAATATTTTCTTTTCAAATAATACTCCCAACGGAAAAACTTAACTTATTGTTATACTACTTCGTAATAATATGAAAAATGACACGTATTTTAACAACAAAAATATTACTGAGAGAAATGTTTCGACTGTGTATTTGTTTTGCTTTAAATATACGTGCCTCATATAGAATAGAAAGAAGACAGTATCTGGGTAACAATGATGTGAATATGTGTGTGCGCGCACGTGCAGTGAAGTAAAAATTGATGTCTGGTGCGTTTTGCTGTGTTTGGAAATGAACACAGCACCGACAAGGGAAGAGAGAGATGGAGCAATAATCAAGGAAGTTTTGATTATTAAATATATAATGTAAGAGAGATTCACTTACTCCAAGAGTACGTGGAAAATGATTTACTCCACAGTTTAATCATCTAATCTTGGAAAATCCAATAGTTTGCATTGGTAAGTACATCTAAATTATTAGATTTTCCAAGATTGGATAGTAAAGATATACAATAAGCCATTTTCCACTTACTCCAAATACTACCTTTTTCAATTTTTGTGTTACATATATTATTTTAAATATTTTATTTATGTAATGATAATATAGAAATTTATATACAGACAACACATCATCTTTCATTTATTTATTTATTTTTAAAAGTTAATAATAATTGAAAATAAATAAAAAATAATGAATTTGACCGTGTATAAAACTTCCACTAGATCCATTTTTTCTCTATTTTATTCTTGTGGGAAAATGATGGCTTCAACAATAAAAAAGAATGGTTACGAGATGTTTATAAAATCTATACCCAAATGCCACATCATAATACCCACATTTTCCTTTCTTTGCTGGCAAACAGTGCACGATGAAGTTACAAGCCGACTTCTCTCTATTATCGGATAGAAAAGTGCTATGAAAGAAAAACAAAAACAAAAATATAATAATAAACATATTCTTCTATTAATATTTATAATGATATTTTTATCTTTAAAATTAAGAGTTAAAACATCATTTTTCTCTCACTAGTAATGGATATATCCCTAATTTCAAAATGAGAAGGATCCAAACCAGCCGTGATACCACTTCATCTACATAAGCTTTTGTATATAATGCAATTATTAGGAGTCATTCATTAATACATGTTTGATTCTTTTAAGTAAGGTTTTAGTTTTAAGTTTTGTATATGAAAAATTTACTTAAAAAAGTAGGTATGGATAATTTTTACTATAATATGATTCTCTTCATGAAATATACAAATATTCTAGATCAAAACAATATATAATGCATTATATATAAAAAAGAAATGCCATGTTAACAACAACCTACAATATTGATTAAAAAACAAAAAAAATAAAAACACCTTGAACTCTTATATATTTGATTACATCAATTCTTATTACAAAATGTCTATCTTACATTCCTTAATAACATATAATGTGCACTATACTAATTAATATTAAAAAATAAAAGCATAGACAAATACCTAAAAAATAATATAAAAAAATAAAATAATAAGATATTTTTATCTTTTATATATAACGGTATCACACTTTTATTCTTAAATGCAAATACAAAGCCAAAAACTTGTCTCTTGAGTAATGTAGAGATATCATGTTAACAACCAACCTAATCAATACATATAATATGCACTATACTAATTAACATTAAAACTTAAAAAACAACATGAAAAAAATAAAATGATAGGGCACTTTCACCCTTAAAGTTGTGAGAAGAGCTCATAGAGTCCTTTCCCTTCTCCTTCAAGGCTTCAAGTAATAACTCTCTCTCACTCACACACCTTATCTCTTTGTTCACCATTCTATCTGCACCAGGCTTCAAAGAGCTTCTTAATCTCTACATTACTTTCTGATTCAATCTACTTCCCAAATTTAAATCATTTTATCTCTCTGGCAATGCACACACATCCATAAGTGAAAGTGAGAGTATGTGATTGCACAGTCTCTTTCCATTTCAGACAGACACAGAAAAGACACAAAACTATAAGTGCGAGTGAATGATAATCTGAACAGAATAAGTAGACATGAAGAACTGTACAACGGGGCGTGTGTCCCCTCTCTCCCACTTAGTTATTACCAAAGGGATTGTGATAGCTAGAGACCTAGACTGATAGTGATGTCAAAGTGCACGTAGTTAAAATGACCTGTAATTCAAATTTACACTTTTTTTTTTGTACTAGTAAAGATTTTTGTGGCATTGTGTGTTTGTCGCTCAAAGGAGTGAGCATGTATTAAGTTGGGTTGCATTAAGGTTTGTCTTTACCCAGCCTTAAATATTGGTTGAGCTATTCACACAGTTGGCTTTTATATCCGAACCTGACCGTAGAACCGATTAAATATAACATATACTTATTTAACATAAAGTCTTCTAAATATTATTTATTATTGTGAATATATAATTTCACATATAAAATAATATATGAATATATATATTATTAAACATTTATATATGATAAACAAATAGAGAATCAATGACATTCTCGACCAAAAAGGCATCATTACTTTTTATGTAACACCCTAAATTTTAGTCTTTAAAATTATAGTATCAGTCATGAAAGTTTCGCTTGAGCGAGAGATTCTCGCCTGAGCGAGAAAGGATCCCTGGGGGGTGAAATCCTGGGCTATACTGGAGTATTCTCGCGTAAGCGAGAAATGATATTTTGGGGCTGTTGACACTGTGAGATTCTCGTTTGAGCGAGAGGGTCAGATCTGAAATTTTGAAAAGGCGGGATTTTCTCGCCTGAGCGAGAATGGGCTAGCTTGAGCGAGAACCTCACGACTGCTCTTTAAAATAGAAACCCCAAACACATTTTAGGGTTAGAACTTTGAAGAGAAGAGAGAGAGAAGAGCTTTTCAAGAGCAAAGAGCCTTAGGACTCATCTTAGAGCTTGAGAAGAGGTAAACCTCTTGTTCCTAACTCTTCTTCTTCCTCTCTAACTTGTTTTGGGTATGTTGGATCTATTTTCAAAACATGAGAAACCATGGAAACTCACCCTTTAGAGTTATGGTTCGTTTTATGTTGTTTTTCTCTTATAAACTCTTAGTTTAGAGTTGATATTTGATGAATGGAAAGGTTTTGTGGGTTATTCATAAAAACCCCAAAAACCCCCAAAATGAGAATATGAGTATAAAGAGAAAGAGATGAAATGTTAGATGTGGATAATGATTTTGTGCTTTGATGTTGATATATGAGATAAAATGTATGTTTAGATGTTTGGAAACTTGTATTGAAGTAGTTTTGGAAATCTTGAGTATATATGAATCCCTTGTGTATTTGATGATGAAATACGAGTTATTTATGTGTTATTTTGAATAAATAACTGACATTGTTGTTATTGGTGAAAATGAGGAAGAGTTCCTAAGGTTGGAGGAAATCGCGGGGGAGACTTTTAAAGTTACTCGGAACCGATCCCCAACGCTCACCAAGGTAAGGGATAAGTGGCTCTAATTCATACTCACTGATGTGAATGAGGTATGTGAAAGAGGTAACGTATTGGTAAGTTTATTGTTGTTACCCTACCCGAAGAGGTAGTGGTTTATTGTTGATACCCTACCCGAAGAGGTAGTGGTTTATTGTTGATACCCTACCCGAAGAGGTAGTGGTTTATTGTGTCCTACCCGGAGTGGTAGTGAATGGTTTATTGTGTCCTACCCGAAGTGGTAGTGAACAGTTTATTGTGTCCTACCCGGAGTGGTAGTGGACTGTTATTGTGTCATACCCGGAGTGGTAGTATACTGTTATTGTGTCCTACCCGGAGTGGTAGCGGACTATTATTGTGTCCTACCCGGAGCGGTAGCGGACTGTTATTGTGTCCTACCCGGAGTGGTAGTGAATGGTTTATTGTGTCCTACCCGGAGTGGTAGTGACTGTTATTGTTATCCTACGGGGAATGGTAGTGAATTGTTGTGAACTCGACCTGCCCGATGTGGTATGGGGTAATAACTCGACCTGCCCGATGTGGTATGGGGTAATAAGTAATAACTCGACTTGCCCGATGTGGTATGGGGTAATAATAACTCGACCTGCCCGATGTGGTATGGGGTAATAATAACTCGACCTGCCCGATGTGGTATGGGGTAATAATAACTCGACCTGCCCGATGTGGTATGGGGTAATAATAACTCGACCTGCCCGATGTGGTATGTGGTAATAACTCGACCTGCCCGATGTGGTATGGGGTAATAACTCGGCCTGCCTGATGTGGTATGGGAAATGAAATTGGTGAATATGAATGATGAGAAATGTGAATGTTACAATGAATGTCGTATGCATGCTATAGGATATATAGTATGCGATATATATTCTATAGGGTGAATACGAATGATGAGAAAAGGAAATGTTACAATGAATGTCGTATGCATGCTATAGGATATATAGTATGAGATATATATTCTATAGGGTGAATATGAATGATGAGAAAAGGAAATGTCACAAAGAGAGTCACATGCATGCTATAGGATATATAGTATGGGATGTATATTCTATAGGGTGAATATGAGTGATAAAAAGGAAGATGTTGAAAATGAAAGTAATATACATGCTATAGGATATATATTATGAGATATATATACTATAGGGTGGATATGAATAATGAGAAGGATGATGTTTCGATCGAACGTAATAGGCATACTATAGAATATATATTATGGGATATATATACTATAGGATGAATATGAGTAAAGTGGAAATTAAAGTAAGATGATATGAATGTTTGCAATTACGAATGTGTGTTTACAAATTATATTAATGATTAATTATATTTGAAATGTGGATTATCATGTGATGTTAGTTCTTGAACTAATGACTTACTCCCTTTTGTTTTGTGTGTTGTTTATGATAATCTCGTTGTAGGTAAATGAAGGATTTTGAGAAGGAAGCTCACTTAGGAAGCTTTTGTGTTTATTAACCTATTTGTCTTTATTTGCTACTTGACGTTGTAGTTAATTTGATAACATTATGAGATGACTGTAAATTCGTTTAGATTAATACGGATATGTGTAGTTATGGATTTTATAACTCTGGGAGACCCATAACTGGTTGTATGTGGTAAATGCTATTTGAATGAATTATGTTTTTCCGCAACATAAATTTGTATGATAATATAATAGGGTAAAGAGTATTTTCAAAGAGTGATACTTGAGAGTTTTTAACGAAGGTGACGACTGTATGTAAGAAAGAATTAAAATAAATGAAAAAATTTAAGGGTAGAATTTTGGGTCGTTACATTTTACACATTTGAACAGTGACACATACAAACATCACGAAGAGTAACCATGGGACGGGTCGGGACGGGTCATGTTTGGTTCATACCCAGCGCGCCCTAAATATTGTCTAGGTCTAATTTTTTAACGTAACCAGGCCCCGACCCTAGACCTCATGAGACACAACCTATTCAAACTCGATCATGATCGAATCATACCGTATGAGCGGGTAGGGTTGGGTCCTGCTCACCCCTAGTCCCTCCCAATAAGTGAAATTGAACAATTAATTCTTTATCATCTTGGGGATCAGTGAGGTCTTTACACCACTAGACCAACACCTTATTAGTATTTACACAATTTCCATTACAAAATAATACTAATAATTAGATGATATTGGATTAATAAAATATTATTTTATTTAGGATTTAGTTAATTTCATTTTATTTGAATTTATCTATAGTTCATATTATCTTATTAGTTATTATTTGAGTCATTATTATTTTATTGTTTATAACAATTTTTCCTATTAATAAATTGATTGGACTCACTCATATTTGAGTTTGATCAATCTTTACTATCATAAACTTCTATATAACATTAAAGTGGTTTCATCATCCGTGACCCGCTTGCTCACGATTCCACTACCGTTACACCGAAAATTCAGAAATGCAATTAGTCATCCTCCTTTTGTAGTATCACCTTCTCATTAGTATTCATTCATTTTTTCTCAATCTCACACTTCCATATTACAAGGAACAATTATTCAAATAAACAAACATCAGGAAATCTTGATATTAGGGATCATTTTAGTAGTCTTTTCTCCCATTATGAGTCATATTGGTTTTCTCATCAACAATCATTCTCATTCTGATTATATCATTAATATTTATTTTCATCGATGTTGACTCTATTGGTGATTTTTCTCTCATTGAGGAGTTTTCTTAGTAATGAATTTTTTCACATAGACGATCATCCGATAATGACTATAGTTTTTTTTTTGCCGATGATCATTCTGGTGATGAACTTTATCAGCTATTACTTCTTTTCACATCAACATTCATTCTAATGTTAATTATAGTGGCAGTTTGGCAGATTTTACATTTACAACACCTTTCGATTTTTTGTGCATCTCATATAATTATTTGGTTATTTTCATTTTCGTTAGAATAGATGAAGTTATTATATTGTACCATCAATCAAACGATCTTATAATACTTTATTATTAAAACATGCATATATGTGTACTTAATGTTATATATAATCGGTCTTAAGTCTAGATAAAAATTGAACATTATACTAAAGAGTCGCCAATCAACTTTAAACTTAATCAAATCTCTAAAATATAGATCAACATTGTGATTCTCCACGAGGAACAACACTTATAAAAATAACTTTGCCTATATTTAAATGTTGGAGAAGAAAAAAGAAAATAACTTTGCCTATATTTAAATGTTGGAGAAGAAAAAAGAAGCATGGAATAAAAATATATATTTCTTGTGCAGTCCAACAAACTTTAAGGATTCTTTAGTGTATGTATATAAGGATCACAATATCACATGATTATATGTATGAGGGTAATAATATCACATAATCTTTTGGTTTTTATTTTGTTTTTTTTTTATACTCACCCGATGTAAACATACTTATGTTGCTTGGGAGTTGGGACAGGCTGTCTTGGTGGGGAAAAAAGTATCTCTATTAATGAAGAGATAAATTGGTTTTTTCTTTTACTTTTAAGGTTTGAAATGTAATCTTATTAAAAATATAAATGACAAAATTGACATTGTATCTTCTATTCTTTTTGAATTTTTAGGGTACTTCTCTCTTT